GGACAAAGTACAGGTAACCCTCAACTTACAACCAGTTATTTAGTGACAGCTAAATTTCCAGAAGCCAATCAGATTGTCTTACTGGCCTTTGGAACAATACTCAATAAGAAAAATGGTCTAGGATTATGACCATTTTTCACACTTATGACCGCTGCAGCATCCCTTGCTCACATGATCAAAATTCAGGTGCTTGGCAGCAGTCATAAGTGTGAAAAATGGTCATAAGTCCATTTTTTTCAGTGCTGTTATAACTTCAAATGGTTACTAAATTACCTTTTACAAGTTGAGGACTGTACCCATAATTTGCAAACCTCCATTTCTGGTTATTGCATTGTGAATCTTAATGTCCTGACAGTACAAGAAGTTCTGGGTATGCAGATTCTTTGCTAGTGAGATCTGCTCCCTGACTTTTTTGTTGTTGTTGTTTGTTTGTTTTGGCTCAATGGAAAACCAGCTAGGACTTGGAAGGATTACATTTTGACTTCTAGACCATTTTTACTATTGAGTATTGTTCCAAATGCCAGTAAGACAATCTGATTTGACTTCTGGATGCCCCTCCTAACTTACAGTTCACAAGTAGCCCCCTCTAGAATTACCTCTTGAAGTTAAGGGGCATGCATAAGTGCACCATCGTGCCTACCATCCCTGTCCTATTGTCCCCATTTATTCGTACCTATTTCCTGTATTCTTACTCATGTTTATACTTATAGCTACTACCTTGTAAGCAATTGACAAATCAAATAAATAAATAAACTGTCCAGTTACATTTCTGTCTTTCCTAATTCCTTAAGGATAACCATTCGGGGTAAACTTGGAAAAACAAAAGAATAAGACAGATTGGAGAAAGCATCAAAAATCAGAAAAATTCTTTTACCAATCGCCTCTCATGTTAAAACGTAAAGGTACAGAAGGACAGCTGGCAAATTTTTGTGGAAACCCTCCAAATCTAACTCCAGAGCAGCCCAGACAAGTTTGCAAGAATGATTGCTATGTCAAGATGCCTCCAGAGAAGTAGCAAAAGATATGCCAAATTGAGTTGGAAGGAGACCAAGACATTCATTTTTATTTATTTATTTATTTTATTTATTTATTTATTTATTTTGTCAATTGCTTACAAGATAATAGGGTAAGTATATACATAGTTATGAATACATGAAATGGGTACATATAAGGACAATCAAAAGAAACAATAGGACAGGGACGGTAGGCACATTGGTGCGCTTATGCACGCCCCCTGCAGACCTCTTAGGAAAGGGGTGAGGTCCACAGTAGACAGTCTAAGGTTCAAGTTTTGGGGGGTTGGGGAAGAAACCAGTCAGGGTTGGGCTTCAAAAATTTTAGCAACGGGTTCTCTGCCCGGTTACTGGGTGGGTGTGGCCATGGTGGGAATGCCCTCCTGCACGGGGGGGGGGGGGCGTTTTTGCCCTCTCCGGGCTCCAGAGGCTTTCTGGAAGCCGGAAACAGGCCCATTTCCGGCCTTCCCGAACTTCCGGGAGTCCCATTTTTTCACCCTCCCCGAGCCTATGCGCGCACCCTGCACTTACCTGCATCCAAAACAAGCCACATGGGAACTCTGGGAGGGAGGGAAGGGTGGAATCTTAGCTAGGGGCTCTCCTGAACCCCTGCACACCCCCAGCAGCCCACCCCTGAAGATATTCCTTATAGCAGAGTTTCTAAACCTCGGCAACTTTAAAATGTGCAGACTTCAATTCCTAGAATTTCCTGGTTAGTATGCTGGCCAAGGAATTCTGGGAATTGAAGTCCAGAAGTTCAACTTGCTAAAGTTGAAAAACAATGCTCTACAGTATTTTTCATAACAGTAATACAGTATTATTATGCCTTGTCTTGTAGACTTCTAATTACAGAATATAAAATTTTGACTTTAAACATAAAGAACTATATTTCCCATCTTTGTGTAGGAGATGCATGCATAAATGTGTCTCAATGTAAATCTGTTCATACATGCATCCATCCTACTAGCTTCCAAATCCCCTATTGTTTTAATCCAGGTTACTTGCCCTTGCAAGTAACCCAGTAACCCAGATTAAGTTTCTTTTTCAATTATTAGAAATGATTTTACGTGCCATTGTAAATTTCTCAATGATCAAATGTTTCAGCATAGAAAAAAGAAATGAAAAAACTTGTCAGGCCTATCCAGATTAAAAGCTCCGGAAAAGCTATTCAAAGGTTCAGGAAGAGAGATTTTTTAAAAAAGAAAAAGAAATTATTAAAAGACCTTTGCCAGATATCAAGACAGTATACCTGAGTGCTTCCCAGACCTGGAAAAATAACCCAAACTTGGATAAAAGTGAGGTTTTTTTTTCAGTAACAATCTATTACCAGACCACAACAGGGATATTTAAATTGGTTAAAATGTTTGACTCCCATTGGATCAAAAGGACTTTCTGATAAGTGGTTTTGGGTAACGAAAGAAAGTTTGGGAAGCAAAGGTGTGCTTTGTCACAAATCTGTTTCTTCTCATATGTCATTCTTGAGGTTGGTTCCATTAAACTTCTCTATAAATGATCAGGACTACCATTTTAAAACTCCTGGTGGAAGGCATCAGAGGTGGTATTCAGCAGGTTCTGACCAGTTCTGGAGAACCGGTAGTGGAAATTTTGAGTAGTTCGGAGAACCGGCAAATACCACCTCGGACTGGCCCCGCTCCCAACTATTCCCTGCCTCCCATTGAGTCCCAGCTGATTGGCTGGGTCTTCTTTTGTTGCCCTGCACAAGAGAACGGAGCTGGAAAGCAGGTTAGTGGGGTGGGGAGGGAATGGAGATTTTGCAGTATCCTTTCCCTGCCATGCCCACCAAGCCACGCCCACCAAGCCATGCCACATCCACCAAGCCATACCACATCCACCAAACCACACCACACCCACCAAGCCACACCCACAGAACTGGAAATAAAAAAAAATTGAATACCACCACTGGAACACGGGTTCATGAATGCCGAAATGCTGAACTTGCAATAAAAACACAGGACAGATGTATTTTTGTTCCAAAGGGTGTGTTATGATCATGTTGGTGCTAAAAATGGCTTTCTGGAGGTGAAGAATGCCCAAGGGTGCTCAGTATTTGGATAGAAATAGTCCTTGCTTGGTGGCTGCTTCTTTTAGTGATCATACAAATAGTGCTAAAAAAACCCCAACAACTTAGCAATCAATCCTAACATTTATGGCTTTTACAACAATACTTTATTACTTGCTGATTTAGCTCATACCAAGATGTCCTCAAAGACCTTTTCAGCTGAAGAAAGTAGCAAGAACCAAAGGAAAACTGTAGTAAGATCATAAGCACAGCCACAGTCATATGATTCTTACTTTAGAATGGGACAACTTGCCGCAACAAATTCGCCTCGCTGTGGCTGAGTTGCCATGGTCAATTCACCACAGCCAATTCGGCATGGGACAGCTGTCCACGGGACAATTCAACGATTTGGTTCTATTATTTAAAATAATTTTAAAAAATATTTTATTTTTTGCTGTTCGCATTTCATTTTGTCCCTCCTTTGACATCCTTTCTTTAATGATTCTATTCAATCATTTCTTTGGTATTAGTGTAACTCTTATTCCACAGCGAGTTGGCTGTGTCAAGTTGGTTAAGCAAGTTGGCCATAGCAAGTTGTCCTGGACGAGAGGGATCAAACTCTCAAGGGATGCGGGCCAAATTTGGCCCATGGCAGAAGTGGTATTCAGCAGGTTCTGACTAGTTCTGTAGGACCAGTAGCAGAAATTTTGAGTAGTTCGGTTGGAGAACTGACAAATACCACCTCTGACAGAAGACTTTACAGTATCCTTCCCCTGCCATGCCCACCAAGCCACGCCCACAGAACTAGTAGTAAAAAAAAAAAATTGAATCCCACCACTGGACCATGGGGTGCTTAGATCTGGCCCAGAGATGGCATTCAGCTAGTTCTGACCAGTTCTGGAGAACCGGTAGCAGAAATTTTGAGTAATTCAGAAAGCCAGCAAGTACCACTTCTGACTGGCCCTGCCCCGATCTATTCTCTGCCTCCCAAGTCCCAGCTGATCGGCTGAGTCTTCTTTGGTTGCCCTGCACAGAAGAATGGAGCTGGAAAGCAGGTTAGTGGGGTGGGGAGGGAATGGCGATTTTGCAGTATCCTTCCCTTGGAATGGGGAGGGAATGGAGATTTTACGGTATCCTTCCCCTGCCACACCCACCTAGTCACGCCCACCAAGCCACGCCACGCCCACCAAGTTATGCCCACAAAACCAGTAGTAAAAAAAATTTGTATCCCACCACTGAATTCCCACCACGCATGGCTCTCCTGAGCTCTGTTTTTGCTGGAAGAGCACCCGGGCCACCATATATGCCCTCAACATGAGTGACGTCTAGCTGGCCACACCTATCCTGGCCACACCTACCTGGCCCCCAAACACAACCCTGATGCAGCCCTCAATGAAATCGAGTTTGACACCCCTGTCCTAGACCCTTCTCATGTAGGGACTGCTTTGCTTCATAACCAAGCTGTTCGTCCTAACTGCGGTCGCTCAGGGAGGACTACCTAACGTATATCCCCATCACAAGATAATATTGAGAGCCATTTCGCATGCATTTCTATGATGCACGTTTAAAACTTTATTTGCAATTCGTAACAGAAAAGAAAAAACAGCCATACTGATGTTTATCGATCCACAGGCCCTCATAAACACTTGTGCAGGGTGGTGGTAGGGACACAGTTATACAGCTATATAAACGCAAATATGCGTATGCTGATTCATTGCAGTGGGTGACATGGGCACTTTCTTAGACGGGAATTTTAGGGCCATCAATCATCTGGTGCAGACTTTTTTTTTTTAAAAAAAAGCATGGCATGTGACCAAATCCCAAATGAAAAAAAAAAAAAGATGAACATTCAGACTGTATTGGGACACAATACAAGTCTCCTTGGCTTCAATGATTAGGTTTAATTTCAAGCTCCAAAGTCTGCAAAATATTATGGGGGTCTTACTTTTTTTTTCTTTTTTTTTCCCCTTTCCTTTTTAATCGGAAATTTAGGGTTCCAGATAAGCAACTTTTCATGCTAGCAAATAGAGTCCATCCAGCAACAGTGATGAATTCCTAGTTCAAAGCAACCGCTTAGCAACCGTCAGTCCTTTAAGGGTTAAACCAAAGATGGCAGGTTCTTCTCAGTGCAGGAACAGTTTTGTGTTCTCTGGACGTTTGCTGCAAACTCTGCTAGTGGTTCAGAACAGTCTTAAGGTCTCCACGAAATGTAGACAAACTTTAAAATCCTACAATGCACCATCATTTAACAGAAAAACTCTCCTCTAAAGATTTAGGAAGGCATCAATTGAATTATCCTGATTCTTTTCTTTTTTTCATTTTGGCAGTCCAAAGGCTTTGCTTACTGGAAACAACATTTTTGGCAGAGTAAAAAGGCTTATAGCTTCCTAAGGCCAGAGAACAGAGTGAGGTCTAACTTGGTATTCTGTGATAGAAGTAAATATATCCTAGCTCTATGGGTGGCTGCTCGGAGGCACAAACTTTATGGTCGTTGTAGATCACCCACCTGAAAAGGAGAAAGAAAGAGAAAATGAAGTGAACATCATGAAATTAAATGAAGTGGGCAAGGAACCCCTACAACTGCTGACACCACTACCACTACCGCTGCCATCTAACTTGATTTAAGTGTGTGTGCTGATTTGTCTCGTCCGGAGAATTAGGACAGGGGTGTCAAACTCGCAGCCTGCAGTCCGGATGCAGTGGTGGGCAGCTGACACTTCAGGCTGGTTCTTGCAAACCGGTAGTTCCGACGATCAGCTGGCCCCACCCGCCCGCCCTGCCCTATCCGTTCCTATATTTCCGTCTTTTTCAGCTCAGCTGATTCGCGCAGCATAGTGGATTACCACGCCTCAGCTGTTCTACTTACCGGGGCTGCCTTGTAGAGCCTCAAATTGGTGTTTTTTGAATGTTGCGTGCAGCCCACCACTGGACCGGATGTGTCATGCATTTGGCCAAGCCCATGCCCAGTTCAGTAAAGGGGGGAAAAGTCACAATACATCATGGGACAATGTCATGACAACACGAGTTTGACAACCCCTGAATTAGTGTCAGGATTCCGACACTTAACCCCACTTAAATCATGAGTCTCTAGCCAAACTCCAAAAGGATTTATTGGGAGTTTAAAAAATGCACCACTGCCTGGATGTTGCTGACTCTGAGACATATAATTCATTGTCACCCTTGACCCTGGTTTTCCCCCACCCCCTGGGTGTATCATAATTAATATTCTCCAATGGGACACATCCATAGCCAAGAGTCATCAATCATACTCTCCAGTTAGAATTTTGCACAGCAGAAACCTCAGTGGCCTAGAAACTATCTTTGAAAACATCTATGGAATACAAGCTGCCCACTGCTTTCCCCTCCCTTTCTGTTGGCAACTCTAAAAGACCACAGAAATATTTTATGAGTTGACAATTAGGATAATGAACAAGCTGCAGTCCGACTGCTTCCGACATTTAAAAGAATCTGTGGTTGGCTCTTAATCCCCATCCAAAACCACTGCTAATATGGAAATCATCCCCATTCATTCATTCATTCATTCATTCAAGTTAGAAATAAAATTTTCTGATATGGTTTCCATAGAAGCCTATGGAGATTTATTGAGAGTTTTGGAGTGATAATTCAGCGTCAGAAAATGTACTCTGACAAGATTTTCACTCATCAAGATCATGGTTATTCCAAAAATGCTTTATCAAAAAGCAGCTGGACTGTTCTTTCCTTGAGGAAGAAGAAGATGTTTCGCTTCTCATCCAAGAAGCTTCATCAGCTCTGACCGAATGGTGAAGGATGAAAGGATTTATTATATTGCTTGCAGTCCTCTGCTTGTTAGCATTCTTTCTGAGAATTGTTGGGTCCACTTGAAGGGAATTGATAAATCCTTCCACCTTTGAAACATCTTCAAGGGAAAAAAACCCAAGTCCAGTGGCCTTTTGAAAAAGCCCTTTTGGGTTTCCATAGAAGCGTCGATCTCGAAGTGTTTGTCTAACTTTTGGGCACTACGTATCAACTGTAACACAACCACTAATGTCACACTATATTACCTTCCTTCCTTTTTAAGATGGCAAACATAATGGCCGCTCATGGTGGATGTTCCCATGTGACTGATGAAGCCAAAGAGTTCATATCCTGCCCAAGAAAATATCAAGGGTGTGATGAGCAAAGTCATGATGAAGACAATCCAAAAATCTTGCCCACATTCCTCTAGCAACAATTCTTAAACCAACTCACTCTTGATCTCTTTAAAAGTAACATTCAGGAATAAAATGGATGTTTTTTTGAAAATTGCAAACCTATAGATCAGGGGTGTCAAATCTAGGCCTGGGGGCCAATCCGGTCCATGAGGTGCTTAGATCTGGTCCATGGAGATGCTTTGGAAACAGTAAAGGACCATCCCACAATGCCTTTGTCAGCGAAAACTGAGCTCGGGAGGGCTTCGGGCAGCCCTCCCGAGCTCAGTTTTCACTGGTAGAGGTATGCAGGAGGCCCTCACAGCCAAAAATGGAGCTCGGGAGCCCGTTTTCACTGGCAGAGCAGTCTGGCCACCATAGGCGCCCCAACACGAATGATGTTGAGCTGGCCACACCCACCCTGGCCACACTCACCCCAGCTGCCTGAAGTCAAGTACAACCCTGATGTGGCCCTCAATGAAATCGAGTTTGACACCCCTGCTATAGATCATTAAGTATTGCACGCTGTAGCTCTCCAACATTTATAAACCTGCAAATATATTCTGTGCGTGGTTGTCATGAATCACATCTTACTTTAATGCTATTTCCTATAAAGATGACATAGCATAGCAACCCTCAGCAACTTTCAGCCTTCCCTGGACTGCACGCAATATATCTCAGGATATTGTTTTGTATTTTGGACGTTCATTATCTCCCTTAAAAGTTCCCTAGTTAGGCATATCAAGTATTACTTGGTATTCTCAGGCTACTTGGATTGTGCTACTTGCATTCACTGATGCTCAACAAATTTTAACTGCTGTCTAAAAGTTCCATCCTGTGGTTTATTTCTCCTGTAGGAGTTATGATGGTTAAAAAAACAAAGGCTAAAAAAACCTAAAGGTTTAAAAAATAAAGGTTAAAAAAGCAGGGAATGTTGGCAAACAAATAGAAGCATGAGAACAAGGTCTTAAAGACCCCACATCAAAACTCAAACATGCATCCTTCAGTACAGACTTTTATGATCAGCTATTTCATATTGTTTCAGACCAATGGCCCATATCAATTTATTGTAATCATTTTTTTTTTGCTGGCTGGGGAGTATTCAGAAAAAGCTGAGATTGTTTGGTGATGCCAAAGACTGAACTACGGTCGTCTAAAGGATTGTTTAACACAGCAACAACCAAGTTCGACATCGAGCAAATATTTAACCTAAATTAGAAATCAGCCCTGTTCTTTAGTTATCATGATACATATAATGTACATGCTTGGCCCACTGATAAGTTCACAGGAATGGAACGTTGCAAATCATCAGTATTAAAATACGTGAAAAGTCTAAAAGCGTATTGTCATAACCTAAGAGAAGACTCCTACGAGTCCCTTGGACTACAAGGCGATCAAACCGGTCAGCCCTAGAGGAGAACAAGCTTGACTGCTCTTTAGAAGGCCAGATCCTGAAGATGAAACTCAAATACTTTGGCCACCTAATGAGAAGGAAGGACTCACTGGAGAAGAGCCTAATGCTGGGAACGATTGAGGGCAATAAAAGAAGGGGATGGCAGAGAATGAGGTGGCTGGATGGAGTCACTGAAGCAGTGGGCGTGAGCTTAAATAGACTCCAGAAGATGCTAGAAGACAGGAAGGCCTGTAGGAATGTTTTCCATGGGGTTGTGATGGGTCGGACACAACTTCGCAACTAACAACAACAACAAAACTTAAAAAACATATTTGGGAAGGGGAAAAATGAATAAGCCAGGCAGATCAATGTATGCAACCTATCAAAGGGAAACTTACTTCCCGGTCCATCTTTGATCCGGGGCCCTTCTGGATCCGATTCTGCAAGGATGTTAGCATTCATGTGGTTTTCTATATTCATGACTTCAGAAGCTACTTCAGTCTCTTCCTCTGGTTCAGGGTGACTAAAGATCCAGTCCAATGCGTGTTCCAAGTTGTTATTCTTCCAGACGCAATAGCATGGAATAATAAAATAGGCAAGAGCTGTCAATATCTTGGCCTTGCTGTGGTAGCATTTTCTCTTAATGAGCTGCTGTTGTTTTCCAAGAATAGACCCAAATATAGATGCAGAATAGTCCTGGGGTTATGACCAGTGATTTAGTTCAAAGTTATGACAGACCCTCTCCCCCCCTCCCACAAAAAGGGTACTTAGCTTAGCAACTGGCCCATATTTACACCTAGGTGCAGCGTCCTATGGTCACATGATCATGATTTATGGTATTTGTTAAGAGAAGCCAGTGTTTACTTTCGGTGTTCAGGAGAGAGAAAAACCAAAAGTAAATGCCCATTTCAGACTATGGATTCAATTAATGACCATGTTATCCGCTTAATGATTGGCACAAAAAACATCACAAAATCAGGTCAGTTATATGATGACCCACATAATGACTGGCATGACTTATGTCCATAATGTTAGGCTTAGTTATGCTCTTTATTTCAGGATTACCTGTAACACCATTTTATGGAGGGATTACAATTTGCATAACTGAGGTAAGCATGGTAGCAGAGGAGAGATTCTGGTTAGTAAAACTGTACTAGCTTCTTCTTCAAATGCACATATTATATTGTAAATAGCATCTACTTTTACTGCATTCCTGTGTCTGATATATCACAGAAGAGTAACTGTGCACCTAAGAAAATGCTGTACTTCGATGATTTGCAATAAAGCAATGAAATTTTTCCAACTTTTTTTTAAAGTTAGCATAAGCTGCTTTACCGTTAGGCTCTCTTTTCCACTAACATCTAGTCAATATATACTGTGAGGATTTCAGTGATGTTTTTGATAATTTCAAGCACTGTAAAACAATTAAGAAAAACAGGACTAAAGAGCACCACTAGACTACAGATGCTGTTAAACGACAACTCCCAGCATGCTCTGGGGCTGTTTATATCTGGAGGGTTTTTTCTAAAAGTGCAATGAATACTTGTCTGTTCTACTTAATAACTTGCATTCTCAGAAAAAGTGTAGGAAAAAGGGGAAAAAACAAAGAAAAGGCATGGACTTCCGACTCCCTTTGGTGCAGTAGAATAAGATAATAACATCAAACCTCAACTCTTTGACTTTTATATAATAGCATAAACTAGCCATTACTATAACAACAAACCTATCTAATCAGTAAAACCCAGAATCAAAGTTTCATTTTTTTTCCACCTCAAGCACAAAGTTCAGAAGCAGTTCCCAAGTAGAAACAAAAGTAATTATGTTTTTTTTTTTTAACCAAAACATCTCTGCCAACTCCATCAACATTTGCAGCCATTCATCCATGGTGGGAATAAGTGTCCTTCCATTTTTTTTGCATAATCTTATTGCACACTTGCTGCTGCTTGCAAGAGTTCAGAAGACTTGCATAACTGTGGATGTGACATTAATTTATTGTCACAATCCTATAGGGTCACAGGGGAGGAAGCATCTCCCTTTTGGCTACTGATAAATCTCAAATAATTTTCAGGCAAACTCACTGTTGCTCGTAGTGCCTGAAGAGCTACATTCCGCTGAAATCCCATAGAGGAAATGATGGATACCATCTCTTCTGGAGGTTGATTATCCAACCCAGGAACTCCTGATCCTCCTGTTTGGGGAAAAGCTGTTCCCCCATAGCCGGGGATGGATAAAGGCTCTGCAAAATCTGGAATAAAATGGAAAGTATTCATTCATTCATTCAAGTCAATGGAGGTTTTCAGTCATCCAGCTCATGGTTGTCCCAAAGATGCTTTTTCAAGAGGCAACTGGACTTTCTTTGTTTTTCCTTGAAGACGTTTCGCTTCTTATCCAAGAAGCTTCTTCAGTTTTGAACTGAGAAAACTGAAGAAGCTTATTAGAAACTGATGATGCTTCTTAGATGAGAAGCAAAACGTCTTCAAGGAAAAACAAAACAAGTCCAGTTGCCTCTTGAAAAAACACCTTTAGGATATTCATTTATTCATTCATTACACACACACACATACATACATACATACATACATTCATTCATTCATTCATATATTTGCCGTTCCATTCATTATACCTGTAGATTGCAAAATCAACTGGGCCCACGTGTATTCAAACAAGGCAAATAATTGATTAGCATTTTTATCATTTTCCTCTTACAATGTCATTCACCTGAAACACTGACATGTCATCATTGGGAAAATGGCACAGTGTGTAAATTAGGTAAGGAAACCCTTGCGTAATTGTACAAAGAAAAAGGCAGAAATAGATCTAATGTGGTGACAGCCTTTTACCTCATGGTTGATTTACATCTTTGTCGGATACCAAGCACAGAAGAATTTGTAAACTGGGAGAGAAAGCAGTTTCTATCTCAATTGGGGGCCATTTCTGAAATAAAAATAATGTGAGCCTATGGGTTGGCAACATATTTCACAGAATTATGTAGTAAAATTTGCCCAAAGAGCTGCTGATTCAGTTCTACAGAGGAGTTATTCAGTCTGTTATCTGCACCTCTATAACTGTCTGGTTTGGCTCTGCAACCAAACAAGATAGGCACAGACTTCAGAGGATAATTAGGACTGCAGAAAAAACAATTGCTACCAACCTGCCTTCCATTGAGGACCTGTAAAGGATGAGTCAAAAAGAGGGCTGTGAAAATATCTATAGACCCCTCACATCCTGGACATAAATTGTTTCAACTTCTATCTTCAAAACTATGCTGTAGAGCACTGCAGACCAGAACAACTAGACACAAGAACAGTTTTTTCCAGAATGCCATCACTCTGCTAAACAACTAATTCCCACAAAATTGTCAAATTATTTACTAAGTCTGCATTACTATTAATCTTCTCATCCTTCCTAGTACCTATCTCTTCCCACTTATTACTATAACCATGTTGCTTGTATCTTTACAATTTATATAGTTTTGTTTCCTAGTATGATTTGATTGTGTGTTAGTAACCTATGACTATGACTAAATGTTGTATCTTATGATTCTTGAGGAATGTATTTTATTTTTTCTTTATGTATATTCTCTTCTCTTCTCTTCTCTTCTCTTCTCTTCTCTTCTCTATTCTATTCTATTCTATTCTCTATTCTATTCTATGTAAAGGTAAAGGTTCCCTTGCACATACGTGCTAGTCATTTCTGATTCTAGGGGGCAGTGTTCATCTCTGTTACAAAGCCGAAGAGCCAGTGCTGTCCAAAGACATATCTGTGGTCATGAGGCCGGCATGACTAAATTGAAGATGCACAGAACACTGTTACGTTCCCATCAAAATGGTCCCTATTTTTCTACTTGCATTTTTAGATGCTTTCGAACTGCTAGATTGGCAGAAGCTGGGACAAGTAACGGGAGCTCACTCCATTACACGGCGCTAGGGATTCAAACTGCCGAACTGTCGACCTTCCTGATTGACAAGCTCAGCATCTTAGCCACTGAGCCACCACATCCCCTATTCTAAGTAGGAAGTCTATTTTTTACACTGTGTCTGTGGGATTTCCCATTCATAGTGCTACATTTTTCAGGAAAGTTCTTGGGCCTAATCTATTGGATGGTTTTTCTAAAGGACAAAACAGGAGTCCTTTCCACTTGGCAAACTGGCCCGGGGGGAGGAGGGGCAAGGGGATGGTTTTGTGAAAGCAGCAGGGGTACGTGCAGCTCAATTACACAATGGTGGGTACGCACGCCCATTGCTCGCACAAATGGAGCTTCCCGTATCAGCACGTTCACACACCACTCACGCTAACGAGAGCTGTGCGCACTCACACCTGGTTCTGAACAGGCCGTGGGTCAGTACCAGGCCACGAGTTCAAGGTTGAGCACTCCTGTTGCAAAGGAATCGAAATGTGTTTCTAAGATATACACCTTTGCCCAGGAAGCACAAATATACATATATATTTATTCATGGTTGCATAAAATAAAGCAAAAATCCAAATACCAGCCCTGGTTGTCCCAAAGATACTTTCTCCCAAAAGCAAAAAGACTTTGTTGGGTTTTTTTTTTCCTTTGAAAACATTTCACTTCTCATCCAAGAAGCTTCAATTTCAAACCTTTACTGTCAGAGTACAACATGTGTACAATGAGATTGGCTGAGCCTCCCTTTGTGAACCCCCACCCTCAACAACACAATACAACTCACAGCGAAGACAGAAAATCCCTAACCTGGTGAATCCTACTAACAAACACACCCTAATGCAGTGAGTGAGGACGCTTTCTATTGTGGACCGGTAAAAGGAGGTCATCAGTTGTTGTCCCACTTCGTTTTTTCACAAGTCCCTGAGGAAGTGGAGTCTCTGTTGGGCCTTTCTTCAGTTCGGAGGTTTTTAAAGAAATAACAACAACAAAATCCAGTTGCCTTTTGGAGAAAGCACCTTTGGGACAGCCATGACCTGGATGATTGAGACGCTCCATAGACCCCAGACCTGGTTCTTCCATGTGCGCAATGATCCAGTTGAAAGCCACCTCAGCACCCATGTTGCCAGTGTAGTACACGGCTTTTCGGCATGCTTCCAATGGAAACCCCATCTCTGCCAGCTGCATCACGGAGGATTCATCGAAATCTGGGGCTGAGAGAGAGGACATTCCAGGTGAAAACTGAACTCACTTTATATACAAACGTTGTAGCTTCTGCTGGAAGCTGTTTTAAAAAAAAATATAACTGCTGGAGGCATCATATGATGGAGGTGCAAATTTGAACAGAGAAATTCCTCAGACAGCTCTCCGTTCCTTTTCATTTCTTGTACAAGGAACGGCATGCCAGGTTCAGAAGTTCAGTTTTTTTGCAATGATCAGTATGAGGAACCGAACGTCAAAAGGAAGAGCTGTGCAAATTCTTGCCACAGTCTTCGAGCTGTTTGAAGAATAGCAAAGTCAGCATTGAGAGAAAAGTGCTGACACAAAATCACGCCTAAAAAGCAAAAGTGGCAGAGGTTATTAGGCTGTGCAAACATCTAAGGCTGAAGCCTTGGCTGTTCTCCATGCAAAACAGCTCCCAAAGCTAAGCTACCCCGAGCTTGCTTTCTTTTTTATTTTATTTTTTGGTTAATTCTGCATTTTAAAGGTCACAGATATTGATGGAGCACTGAAAGAATCTGTCAGAGTGAGCATAAATGATCAGGTGAAGCAACACCCTCCATCTTCAGCTGGTTTAAGTAACAATTGGATCTTAAATACAATCAATCATCTCTGCAATAATGCACAAAGACAAAATTATGCTGCAGTATTAGAGAATCTGGATCACTGTTCTATTCACACCTTTAAAGTTTCTAGGTCTCATTAATGTAAAGCTAGATAGGAATGTGTGAACCAAAATGGATATTATTCCTCCTCTCTCTCTCTCTCTCTCTCTCTCTGTGTGTGTGTGTGTCTGTTTGTCTGTCTGTCTCTCACTCTCTCTCTCTCTCTGGGTGTCTCTCTCTAGCTCTCTTTCTGTCTTTGTCTCTGTGTGTGTCTTTCTCTCTCTCTCTCTCCCTGTCCTTCTCTGTCTCTCTCTGTCTCTGTCTCTCTCTGTCTCTGTGTCTCTGTCTCTCTCTCTCTCTCTCTCACACACACACACATACACACACTGTGTGACTATTGGTCCAGAAGATCTTGCTTTTTATTGATCTGCAAGCCTCTCTTGATAATATTCTTTTGGTAAACTGTGAAGAAAAAAGTTTTTTAAATGGTGGGTTTTCTGAAAAGCAAAGAAAAATGACCACTGTGGATCTTATCATCAATTTTTGCCCAATTCCTGTGTTGTGAAATCAGGAAATGTTCCAGTTGAATAAGGTTGCTCAGTGTCCCAGGCTAGATTTTAATACAGGTAGTCCTCGCTTTATGATCATATTTGAGCCCAGAATGTTTACCAGAAGTTGACCAAAAAATGATGGGGACGTTGCAAATGGCTATAAAGGCAAGCCGACTGCCAAGCACAAAATGCAATCACATGACTCTGTGTATGTGTGTGTGTGTACATGTGCAATGGCCATTGTAACTTCAAAACTCGGTCATAAATAGCTTTTGAAAACTTCAACGTCATAACTTCACTAGGCAAAGATGAACTTGTGATTTATAGTTCTGAAGATTAGACAGGATAATAGAAAGAATATTATGATGTAACCTTAGCAAGGTTCAAATATATTTGTACTTATAGCTGCTTTGAAGAATATCATAAGCCACTTCTTTATATCTTTTTTCTCTCTTTTCTATTTTCTTCCATATTTTTTCTTTTCTTGCACTTATTATTTATATCCCGCCTTTATTATTTTTAGAAATAATTCAAGCTGGTGAACATACCTAATACTTCTTCCTTCTCCTATTTTCCAACAACAACCCTGTGAAGTGGGTTGGACTGTTTTGAGAATGGCTGGTCCAAATTTACTCAGCCAGCTTTCATGTCTAAAGCAGAATTCATAGTTCCCTAATTTCTAGCTGGTGTCTTAACTACTTAGACCCAAATTTATTTCTTCCTTTGTCTTTCTTGTCCTGTTTTACATTGTGTTTGAGTTAGGGGGGACAAAATAATGAAAGAGGCTGTTGTCATTATATTTAAGTTTCGAAGGAGCATTTGATTAGCAATGGCAAACAAAATACTGATCCCTTGGATTAATCCGCAAATCTCTTGGGTTGCAAAAATTAATAAAATCATATTAAAATCAGCTTTGAGAACATGGAATACTCCAAGATAGGGAACAGCTCTCTCCAGAGTTTTAAGATTTCTTTAAATATGTCAACACAGACCCAGGACAGGTGGAACGTTATGGAGGAGAAGAACACAGTTATAGCTCTCATGCAATTTGTAAAGATTCTGCGAGCCACAGCAAGTAAGCTCAGCCATTTCAAACAAAAATAAAACCAACATAAAGAAATGGGATACATACACTCCATGAAATGGTTCATCATGCCATCTGAAAGTCAAGGAAGTTAAGTTAAGGGAGAGCAAATTATTTTGGAATGGCAGAAAAATGGAAATTGGCTGGTTCTGCATTTGGTGTAAATACTAGATCATCACCCTATAGCTTAAAAGAGTGGTGCAGTGGCCTAGAGGTGGAGCTCTCGCCTCACAATAAAAAAGCTATGAGTTTGATCCTAGGTAGAGGAAAATATTTCTCCCTCTTTGGGCACAATGAAAATGTATCTGCTGAAAAAAAACTCTGCACTGGTGACAGAAAGGGCATCCGGCCACTAAACACTCAGGGGTGGGATTCAAATTTTTTAACAACCGGTTCTGCGGGTGCAGCTTAGGTGGTGGGCATGGCTTGGTGATTATATGACTTGGTGGACGTGGCTTGGTAGTCATGTTATTGGCTGTGTGTGGCCAACTCAATATCACACACATCGAGGCACGCATCTCCTTGCCTGGCCTCTCAAGAGTGTGGGGATGCTGCAACAGTCGTAAGTGTGAAAAATGGTCATAAGACACTTTTTTTAGTGCCATTGTAACTTTGAATGGTCACTCCACACAAGCAAAGTACCAGCAAAGGAGGGAAAAAAAACTCCAGAGAAGTTCCTGAGACAGGAAGTCTAGTCCTGCCAAGAATATAATAAGGGTTAATGGAGAGGCAGTTTCTGTAAGCAACACCAGAATATTTCCTTTCTGCCTTCCTTGCAGGATTAGGCCAGTAATTTCTTCTAACAACCAGTTCTCCAATCTGCTTAGAGTGTTAACAACCGGTTCTAGCAGATAGATGCAAACCTGTAGAATCCCACCCCTGGTTCCATTCAGTTGCCCACCAAGGGATTATCAAGTCATTAAAAGAAGATAATCACCCTATAGCTTTGTGATCCTATTCCAGTGTGGTGTCCCCAGGCCTGCCATCAGCAAAGTCATTACCTATTCCATTTTGGAAGTGGCAAGAATTTCAACTTAAACCAGCTCTAGAAAAAATTATACTAGGGAGCCCAAATGAACTACTTTGACCTTTAGATAGAACTGATTTTTTGTTGAGACCAAATTTTTCTGTCCATACCACTTCTGCAGAAACTTTCCTTCTGAGGATTTAAAAGTAATCCCTACTCCCCTTTAATGTATATGCTTGAATTCTAGTCCTGAATGTTGTGTGTTGTGGACAATCCATGAATAGTACATACCTTCCTTACTTAGAGTGGTTGAGCTGCTACCTTACATCATGCCCTCCTACTAGAGATTCCATGAATCTACCCACTTCCCTCCATTCCAGACAAGGGACTTTAGTATATCAGCAAATATCTGTTGATACAGTTCTACAGAGGAATGATTGAGTCTGTCATTTATACCTCAGTTACTGTCTGGTTTGGTCCAACCAAACAAGACAGAGAGACACTTCAACAGAACTGCAGAAACAAATAATTGCAACCAGCCTGCCTTCCATTGAGGACCTGTACACAGCACAAGTCAGAAAGAGAGCTGAGAAAATATCTACAGACCCCTAACATCCAGGGCATAAACTGTTTCAACTCCCCCCACCCCAGGACCCCGCAATAGGGTATTACATGCCAAAACAACTAGGCAGTTTTTCTCCCATGCCATCATTCTTCTAAACAACTAATTCCCACAATACCGTCTCAGGCCTAAAGATATTTACCCATGTAATAGGCTGTATTACTATTATCCTTCTCATCTTTTTCATCTTCTCACCTTTTCTGCTATCTTCTCCTATTGATATCTTATTATTTATCATTTCTTGTTTGTATCTTATGATTAATGATTGTAACTAGGATTTATAATCTATGACCTTCTGGACTAGAAGACCTCCAAGGTCCCTTTCAACTCTATTCTGATTGACCTATCACTTTGTTGTTTGCACGTACACTGAAAGCTTATGCATCAGAGAGAAATTCCTTCACACTTGGCCAACAAAGAATTCCATTCGTTATTCTTGTGATTTTACACATTAATTGGCCACGAGGATGCAGGACAATTATATTGTTGTTCTTTGAATAGATTTCCTCAACTTTACTCATGATCTCCCTTTCTCTTGACCTCCAGCCTACTCCAGTTCCACCACAGCATTGACCTAAAACAGACACAGAACATGCCAAATCCACCGAAGCAAGCATGACCAATAGATCTGTTTACACCAAAGAACCAGATCTTGGTTCCATCATTGCCTGCTTTTCTTGCCAACAAGACTCCCAGTGATCGTGTCGTAGCTTGGCATCCATGAAGATGGTCCATGCGAAGAGGAAAGGAGGCAAAATGATAAGGGAACAAAAAAAGAAGATCAACTAACAGTTGTGGTGGAGAATGGTGTGGAGGTAGGAATCCTCATGGTAGTAGGCAGTACCTTTGGGGTCATCAGGAATGATCACAGGTGGAGAGATGTCTGGAAGTTCCTCCTCTCCTGGTTGAAAGCCCGTTGCTCGGAGATGAGTGATGTCTAGAAGATCTGGCATGTCTACAGAAACATCTGCAAGCAAAAGGACAAATGGGAAATTAATTGAATTATTTGGAAATAATCCTAACTGTGAAACTATAGATAGTTTTTAAGAAAGCAGGAAGAATAAGAGCCCTGGTAGCACTGTGGTTAGAATGTAATATTGTAGGCAAACTCTGCCCACAACCTGGAGTTCGATCCTGATGGGGTTCAAGGTTGACTTCCATCCTTCCAAGGTTGGTAAAATGAGAATCCAGATTGTTGGGGGCAATATGTTGACATTGTAAACCATCCAGAGAAAGCTGTAAAGCAGTGGTCAGCAACCAGTGGGCCTGGGACCACTGGTGGTCCGTGAGGAAATGTTGGTGGTCCACAGAGAAATGTCCCCCCCAAGCACTTCCCCCCAAGCAATTAATCCAGGCTGCATGAGAACACAAGGCTGCGCCGCCCACATGGCCTGTCCACCTGCTTGCTCCCACCGTTCGGCCAAGTGCAAACCTTAACTTGAGTAGAGCCACCTGCAGGGAAGGGAAATCCGCCCCGGGGTGGCTTGCTGACGTTGGTGGGAAAGTCGGTCCCATATTCCAGAGCTGCAATAATCACAGGACTGGCCCTTTGGTCATCCTGGAGCAGCTCCTCCAGTCCAGGGCAGGCCGGTGCACCCGGGTGGAGGAGCAGCTGCTCCGGGATGACCAAAGGGCCAGTCCTGTGACTACTGCAGCTCTGGAATATGGGACCGACTTTCCCACCAATGTCAGCAAGCCACCGTCAGTCAAAATTCATATTAGTGGTCCGTGGGATTTAAAATTATAAGTTTGATGGTCCCTGAGATCCAAAAGGTTGGCAACCCCTGGACTGGAGGACCTATGGGGTCCTTATTCTGTTATTCTGTTATTCTTTCTATGATCATGTGTACCCATCCCATCAATCCTAAATAAAGTCCAGAGTGCTATAGGATCACCTGCTATGGGCAGGGCATTGGACTAAAAGACCTCCAAGGTTCCTTCCAACGCATTATTTTATGTTCTAAGTTTCACAAAGTTCCTTGTATGAATCAGAATACTTTGAAATGTGGCAGCCAGAATCTATTTCTGTAGCAAACAGTCATTTGATTTTTTTGGGGGGGGGTGGAAAAATTAACAATTCAATTATTTTTAAAATGCCTTGGACTTGTAATATTCCCAGGTCACCACCAAACTGAGTAAAAAACAAACAAAAAGAAACATTTTCTATTATTAACAGAAAAAAGAAATAAGAGGAAACTCCTTGGCTGTCCCAAAGGTGTTTTGTTTTTTTCCAAAAGGCAACTGGATTTTCTTGATTTTTCTTTGAAAATGTTCTCATCCAAGAATGGATGAAAAGCAAAATGCTTTCAAAGAAAAAACCAAGGAAGTTCAGTTACCATTTAGAAAAAGCGCCTTTGAGACAACCATGACCTGAATGACTGATACTCTCCACAGACAGCTTTCTTGGGTATTATCTGGAGGATAAAAGAAACTTCCCCCTTAAGCAGCCTAATGTCTGTGGAGATTGTCGGTCATCCAGGTCATGGTTCTCTCAAAGGTGCTTTTTCAGGAGGCAACTGGAGGACTTCCTTGGTTTTCCTTTGAAGATGTTTCGTTTCTCATCCAAGAAGCTTCTTCTGCTCTGACAGGATAGTGGGGAATGGAAGGATTTATACTCCTTGCAGACGGCTGGTCATCTGCCTCCTTTTAGAGGGAGCAGGAATGGATTTCCAGAGGAAAAAAAATGCAGACTACAGAAACCAGGAGCACTTACTCAGGTGACCTTGAGGACACAGATAAACCTCCGGGTGCTTCAATGACCCTCTAAACAGGGCTGTCAAACTTGCGGCCCACGGGCCAGATATGTCATGCGCTGGACATGCCCACTCCCGATTTAGCGAAGGGGTGGGGGAAGTCGTGATATGTCACGTGACGATTAAGTGATGACACGAGTTTGACACTCCTGCTCTAAAAGGATGCAAATGACCAGCTTTCTGCAAGGAATATAAATCCTTCCATTTCCCCACTGTCCTGTCAGAGCTGAAGAAGCTTCTTGGAGGAGAAGCGAAACGTCTTCAAAAGAAAAAAAAACAAGGAAGTCCAGTTGTCTCCTGAAAAAGTACCTTTGGGACAGCCCTGGAGTAGATAGAATAGAACAGAATAACAGAGTTGGAAGGGACCTTGGAAGTCTTCTAGTCCAAGGATCTCCAACCTTGGTAACTTGAAGCCTGATGGAGGAGTTGAAGTCCACCAGGGTTCAAGTTGCCAAGGTTGGAGAGCCCTATTCTAGTCCAACCCCCTGCCAAGGCAGGAAACCCTATACCACTTCAGAGAAATGGTTATCCAACATCTTTTTAAAAACTTCTAGTGTTGGAGCATTTACAACTTCTGGAGGCAAGTTGTTCCACCGATTAATTGTTCTAACTATCTGGAAATTTCTCCTTAGTTCTAAGTTGCTTCTCTCCTTGATTAGTTTCCATCCCTTGCTTCTTGTCCTGCCCTCAGGTGCTTTGGAATATAGCTCAACTCCCTCTTCTTTGTGGCAGCCCCTGAGATATTGGAACACTGTATTCATGTCTCCCCTAGTCCCTTTTTTCTTTCTTTTTTTAAATAAATTTTATTAGTCTTTTATGTCTTTTAAAAACAAAAAGATAATCATTATGTTAAGTTCTGTGACATCAGTCTCATACAATTCTCTTTTGTGCATATTTACAAATATATATAATTTGTGCAAATATATACATTTAATCTATAAATTGCTTATCTTAAATTCCTTCATTTTCCATCTGTCTTTATTCAATTCAATTATACCATTTCCCCCAGATTTTGTAATATTCAGACTCATCTTTCTCTTGTAACGTTAAGGTCAGTTTGTCCATTTCAGCACATGTTATAATTTTTTGAATGATCAATTCATCTAAGGGAATACAGTTGTGCTTCCAGCATTGAGCCCTAAGCTATTCTGGCAGCCGTTAAAATATGTAATACAATATATTTTATGTTTTTTCCATATTTCTTTTTAAATATCCCTAACAAGAATATTTCTGGTTCCAATTCTATTTGATCCTTAAGAATTTCTTGCAGCCAATATTTAATTTTAAGCTAGTATTTCTGGGCCTCAGGATAAGACCACCACATATGATAGAAAGTACCCTCTTTCTTTCTACATTTCCAACATGCCTAGTCCTTCTTTTCATTAGACTAGACATACCCAGTTCCAGCAACCGTTCTTCCTATGTTTTAGCCTCCAATCCCCTAATCATCTTTGTTGCTCTTCTCTGCACTCTTTCTAGAGTCTCAACATCTTTTGTGATAAACCTTACAAATGAACACAAGGCAATTCAATATGGAAGACATGAGTCAAAATACATACCAAGCTTCTTAGGGATCCAGTCAAGGCCAAAAGTAAACTTCTTTATCTGAACCACCAGGTATTCAGGAAAGGAAGCAAAGCGAGATGTTCTGGAAGTGTAAAGCATTTCCACATGACATTAAAAGAACCAAAACTCAAGGTCAGAAGCTTCATCATTTAAACAGAACAGCTGAACTGCTCTTTTTGGATCATACACAAGAGCCCGCCTATTCCTCTGTTCTTTTCTACGGCAGCCATCCAGATAGGTCTGGAAAGCAAAGAAATACAGTAGTTCTCATTTAGCAACTGCCTCATTTAGCAACCCCTTTAAACTCTATGACCAATCCTCCCATTTACAATCATTGCAGATCTGTAAAGTAAAGAAAAGCTGAAGTCAGGTAATAAGCACAGCTGGGATTTCACTTATAATTTATTAATTGAATTGCCGCTCCAAACTGTCATCACCAGAGCAAGATCCCGCTTCCGCTGCTGCTCTGCCATCTGGTAAGAGTAAGACCCTAACCCTTATCTTATTTTTTTAACCAGGTGGCTAAGTCAAAGTAACAAAGTGTCAGGGTACAATCAGATTTAATAAATATATTTTTTATAGCGTATGTTTTGTACAATCTGAAATCATCTCCAGAACAAGCAAAATAGGAGATTTCGTTCATCTCAAGGAAAGACCCAAAGCTCAAGTGACTTAAGAGATAGCAGAAGATATGTAATGCCACTACATTTTATACTATGCAGAGAACAAATGAAGAACCTAAGGGTCCTAACAGACTTTTGAAAGTAAATGGAGCTATTTATGGATTTGCTATCTCAGAAGACACAAAGAGTAGGAAAAAAAGAGGAATCAGCCTAAAATTGCTACATAGCCACAAGCAAGCTAAGTCCCTTGGATTCCACTGACCGTTACCTAACTCCAAGAAAATGCTAACCCAGAGGTCTCCAAACTTGGCAACTGTAAGATTTGAGGAGTCCAACTCCCAGAATTCTCCAGCAAGCATAGCTGGATGGAGAATTCTGGGAGTTGAAGTCCACAAGTCTTAAAGTTGCCAAGTTTGGAGAGTCCTGGTTTAACATTTCCTGGAAATTCGCAAAATGGAAGAACCCAATTCTTTGACCAGGTTAGGAGTGGGATGTGAAGGCTTAACTTAACCAGGATTACAGACACCGCCTCGACCCTGATCCCAGAACCCTCCATCTTCCAGGTCTATGCATCCCCACTACCCCAAATAAAAGGCACCCGCTGGGGTGGGGCAGAAGGAAAGCCCCCCCCCCCCCGCGCGCCTTGCTTGCAGAGACAGAGGTAGCGCTTTTAACCAAGCGGGTCAGCTGAGTGGTTGTGTGAGGAATTCTGGGAGTTGAAGTCCACAAGCCTTAAAGTTGCCAAGTTTGGAGACCTCTGTGCTAACCAAACAATATTCCCGCACATAGACATGATTAGCAATGAATCCGTTGAATCGGACCTGATCTTTTGTGCCTGACACATACTCACTTAATGCCAGCAGACTTGGCTTGAAGGGCACTGCTCCAGAAGTCTTCTACATTTTCTGGTTCCATAAAGGCCTGGAGACAAGCACTGAAAGGGATCCTTGCCCGGACCATCTCTGGTGGGGGCCTCCTTGTTGTTTCCGCTTCTCTTCTCTTCAGTTCATAAGCAATCAATTCATCTAATTGGAAGAACAAGTGATACTGAATAAACACCATCCATCTGTGGGAAGTCGTGGATGGGCTCATTTGATGGCAAATGAACGTGAGAAATGGCTCCCCGACAACGTTTTGCATCTAAGAGTGGATCGCATACAGGGATGGGATTCCACTGGTATAACAACCAGTTCGGTGAGCTGCACGCGCACGCTCCGCATTTAGAAAAGCTCAAATTCCTACCTTGTAATGCAGTTCCTGTGAATCAAACAACTGAGGTGCGGCAAATTGCTCTGCCGCGCCAATCAGCTGCGTTCTAAAACCAAGGAGAACTGAACAAACTGAACAAGGAGAGATTTAACCTGGAAATAAGGAAAAACTTTCTGACGGTGTGAACAATCAACCCATGGAACAGAAGTTGCCTTCGGAAGTTGTGGGAGCGTCATCACTTGAGACTTTCAAGAAGAGATTGGACTGCCATCTGTCAGAAATGGTGTCGGGTCTCCCGCTTGGGTGGGGGGTTGGACTAGGTGACCTACAAGGTCCCTTCCAACTCTGATTATCTGTTATCTGAAAACCGGGAAATGAAGGACAGGAAAGAGCAGAGGCAGACGGGCGGCCCACATGCAAGTCGCAGCGAACCAGTTTGGAGCCAGCTGATCATCGAAACAAGGGGTTCACCCGATCTGGTCCAACCAGTAGAATCCCTCCCCTGATCGTGCGAAATGCAAATGTTTGACTTTGTTGCTGAATCCATAGCAGATTGTTCATAATGCAAGTCATTCATGAGACTGAACTGGGACGCATCCCTGAATTATATCTGAATGATAGACAACTCGTACATGCACTTTACCTTTATTTATCGCAGCTTCCATTGCAACGGGCAATTGCATGAGATATTCCACCCTCTCTGTGTACCGTACTTTTCTGGTTTGGCAGCACTGCGTCCGCTCTTCAACCAAGAAACGGAAGACATCGCTGGGGTTTTCCGAGCCAATTCGGTTTCTCTGAAAAGCAAAAAAAAAAAAAAAAAAAGGTGACACCTAAGCAAGCATTTTGATTGGGAGTTGCTCAGAGCTGGTTGTGAAATGGATATGTTTAAGGCAGGTGTGTCAAACTCAATTTCATTGAGGGTCGCATTAGGGTTGTGTTTGACCTCAGGGGGCCAAGGTGGGCGTGGCCACCTGAATAATGAATGCTCCTGGTTCCTGTAGTCTGCAATTTTTCTTTGGAAATCCATTCGTATCCCCACACCATTCAAAGGGTGTAATCCCAAATTATATAGCTAAAAGGATGCCCTCTAAAAAGAGTGCAAATGGCCAGCTGTCTGCAAGGAGTACAAATCCTTCCATTCCCCAGTCAAGAGCTGAAGAAGCTTCTTGGGTGAGAAGCGAAACGTCTTCAAAAGACTTGCCTCCTGAAAAAGCACCTTTGGGACAACCATGACCTGGATGACTGAGAATCTCTACAGACTTTTAGTTTATTTGTGGTTGATGTATGGCAGTGTAATTCTTTTTAGGGTCTGATGTTTTAAATGTTTTAAATAAACAAATCTTGACAACACAATCGATTGTGGACTATCCCATATCATACAGGAAGTCAATTGTCGATTATCCCAGGACATATAAGTATCTTTTTACCACTAGAGTTTTCAAGAAAACAATACGCCAGCTTGGAAAGAGCTTGAAAAACCCAAACAATTCCCATGCCACCATCTCAAGCCTTAGTAAATCAGAATTAAGGCACGTAATAAAAGTCCCACCATTTGTACAACCCGGAACTCTCAAAATCCTAGCTGAGGATGTTGAATTTGTTATTTGAGATATCTCAAGGGACGTCAAGCTGTGGAAAGCTGTAATTGCCTTGTCAAATTGCACTTTCGTGGTTCTAGAAATAGATACATCTCTACCTCTGGAGATACTTAAGATTAAGGATTTGTGCGTATGAAAAAACACATTGCACAGTACACCAGGGAAGTAAACTGTAGCTTTGTATTCTCCACTGGGGGAACAAGAGCTTCAAAGATATCAGTCAGCATTTTAACAGTCAGCATTTTAACAGTACAGAAGTTCCTTCTCTGTTAAATGTATACTGCTCAATTTTTCAAAAAAAAAAAATCATTGTGTTGTGGTTAGCTGGCAGCAGGTGCGGACGGTTGAGGAGAGCGACGACTCAGATGAGGGGCCAGGACCATTAGGGAGTGGACTGCTACCTTCAGAGTTTGTGGGGGCTGGGAGCAGCGATGAGGAGGTTCCTGAGGAGCCTGTGCCAAGTGCGCATGCACATAGGATTGCTCGTAGGAAAGAGCAGCTGCAACAGCACAGGCAACTCAGAAGTAAGGCTGCAATGTAATGGCCCCTCCTTCAAGAAGATAAAAGCCAGCTGTGAAACGAACATTCTTTGCAGGAAGCAAAGATGTTTTGAAACTCAGCCTCGTGGACATTACAGTATCTTAATTTGGTATTTGTAGACTCTTGTGTTGTGAAATATTTCTTATCTGTGATTTTTGGCAGTCTTGCAGTTTTGGCAAAGTTTGTGTTTATCAAAGTTAATTAGTTTGCAGCAGCCTTTTAACCGGGGATTCGTAAGACTCATTAAAAGGTTTCTGTTCTTTTTGGTTATTGTTTTTCTTACTGAAAAAAGGGTTTGGGTCAGAACAGTATGCGAGCCAATGAAGGTTTCATAACTTGAAGGCTCATTGATTTCAGCAGAGAACTCAGAGTGAAATCAATAAGGGTTGGAAATGCTTAATATGATCTGGTATATATTCTACATTTGTGGATCATTTATCAACAAAAGGCATCCTACGAGTGACCTCTTTATGGTTGCCTGAGTTTTGTAATAAACCTAATCATATACCGGTATGAAATAAGGGTATTTGAGAACTTCAACTGCAAACCTCCCCATGGGATTGAATGAGATATCACAATCACAAGTAGATCACAATTACAAGCAGATCACAATTTGAAATAGAGGCCGTCCTCAACTTACAACAGTCCATTTAGTGACCGTTCCAAGTTACAACAGCACTGAAACTTAGGACTGTTTTTCACTCTTACGACTGTTGCAGCCTTCCCATGGTCACATGATCAAAATTTGGGTGCTTGGCAACTAGTTCATATTTATGACCGGGGTCCCAGGGTCACATAATTCCCTTTTGCAACCTTCTGACAAGCAAAGTCAATGAGGAAGCCAGATTCACTTAACAACTGTGGCAAGAAAAGTCGTAAAATGAGGGCAAAGCTCACTTAACAAATGTCTCATCAATATGAATTTGGGACTCAGTTATGGTCATAAGTCAAATCCTACTAGTGTAGGATTTCTTTATATCTCACAGTTGCCTACCCAACAGGGTGCCCTCCAGTGGTGGGATTTTACTACTGGTTCTGTGGGGCATGGCATGGCGCGCTGGGCGCGGTGTGGCTTGGTGGGCGTGGCAGGGAAAGGATACTGCAAAATCCCCATTCCCTCCTCACCCCACTAACCTGCTTTCCAGCTCCGTTCTCCTGTGCAGGGGGCAACAAAAGAAGATCCTGCCAATCAGCTGGGACTCGGGAGGCAGAGAATAGATGGGGGCGGGGCCAGTCAGAGGTGGTATTTGCCGGTTCTCCAAACTACTCAAAATTTCCGCTACTGGTTCTCCAGAACCTGCTGAATACCACCTCTGGTGCCCTTCCTTTAAAAATGAATGGCTGCAAATTGAGGACTATGCCTGATTTCTGTATTCTGAAGCATGCTAGTCTCATGTACGTATGTATATATGTATGTATGTGT